CTGATTCCTAAGATGTCGATGTTCAGTCTTGTCATCTCTTGTTTGACCACATCCAGCTTTCATTCATTCCAGGTTTCTATGGAGTATAGATTTTTGCAGCATCGGACTTTCCTTTCACCACCAGATACATCTGCAACTGAGTGTCCTTTCGTCTTTGACCCAGTCGCTTCATTCTTTCTGGCACTACCAGTACTAGCCCTCCACTCTTCCTCAGTAGCATATCGGACACCTTCCAACCTGAGAGGCTTATCTTCCGGCGTCATATCTTTTTGCCTTTTGGTACTGTCCATGGGGTTTTCATGGAGTGGGTTGTCATTTCCTTCTCCAGTGGATCACGTTTTGTCAGAGCTCTCTGCTATGAGCTGTCCGTCTTGGGTGGCCCTGCACGGCATAGCTCATGGCTTCATTGTGCTACACAAGCCCCTACGCCACGACAAGGCAGTGATCCATGAAGGGGGACATTTGTGTGGCAGCACACAAATGCCTACCTTTTGGGCTTCCCTTATGTTCAGTGTGGGAGAGTTGTGTTCACCTTGGTGCCATCTAGTGGAATTTCTGGGTTATAGCTCTTACATATACAATTTGATTTTAATGTAGAAGGAAAAGGCTCTTCCTAATCCTTCTAAGGTATACAGATGCTGCCATTGAAGAGTGGCAGAGCAGGTGGTTGATACGTGAATGGATGCTCAAGCTTACACTTGCACGGCATTTATTCTTTGCATGCCTGAATGAGCATCTTTCTTGCTCACTGAAGAAAGGCTATGCTTTCTATAATCTCTCTTGCCTGCCATATTCTTTGCACTCAGAAAAAAAATATTGTGGAGGGGCATAGTGAAAACTAGGAAGGAGGTTTTTGCAACCTAGTTTGTCCTTACTGTCAAATTCTGGGCACAGCATAGCATTTTTGTTAAGTGTATTGACTGTTCTAAAAGATACAAACACAAGTAAACTAAGTGATTCTGAATTCTTTGTCCTATGAAAATAATGAAGATTAAAGGAAAGTATGCCCCATTTCAACAATTTATTTTGTGGTGGGTGGTTGGCCTTAGTAGTCATGGGGAGAAATATAAAATTATGCAAGGTATTGAAACACTACCCCCAGACCATTGATTGATTGATGTATTGATCAATTGATTGATCAATTGCATTTATATTCCATGCAGGAGTGGTGTGCATGGTTCTTCCCTGCCTTGTATTTCATCCTCATAGCAGTCCCTTTGCCTAGGTTTAGCAGCCACTCAAGATTACCCAGGGAGCATCATGGCTAAGTGTGGATTTGAGCCTGGGCCTCCCAAACAATTTAGCCACTATATCACACTGACAGGAGAAAGGGCACGGCCTTATTAAAAACAGACTTGCAGATGATCTAAAGTAGGCTCATTGTTACTGCAGGGGCAGGCAGATCAGAAGCAATCTGAGCAACCTCCTCGTTTGCCAGAGACCACAGTGCTACAAAAGGAATTCAGATATTCGTCATGGGCAGTGCCAACAGAAACACCACCACCACCACCAACAACAATGGGGCATTATATAGTGCTTTTGCTGTTTCATTGCTTATATGTTGCAGTAAGTTCTGCAATATAGGTCCATGTTATTCTCCTCATGTTGCTAATGGAAGGCTGAGTCTGAGAGCAAGTGACTTGCCTAAGGCCAAACAGTGAGTCCCTGCCTCAAGTGAAGGTTGGATAGCAGCTTGCCTGTGACAACTAACTTTGCTTAGCTGCTGCACTACACCAGCAGAGGCAGAGTTCAAATGCCTTTGCAACTGAGAGAGCGGGAGACTTCTAAAAATGAATGCTGAGAGTGGCAGAAAGCTAAATTCTGCACCCAGAACTGTGTGCTGTGCTTTTTCTTTGCTCCTGTGGGCTGGCACTGTTTGCACAGACCTGAGGTTGCTGCACTATGACATTCTGCTTTTCTTCTCATAACTCCAGAGCTCAGGCCAGGCTGTTCCGCTTGTGGTGGAGAGTTGTATCCGCTTCATCAACCTCCATGGTAAGACGTCTGCTAAACCTGCAACCCCCCCCCCTTTTTAAGATGTCCTTCTCCTGGGTTGTGCATGCAGGGTGGGGGGTCGAACCTCCAAAGCATCCTTCAGCTTATGGTATGGCTGTGCGTTCATTGGAGAAGTAAAACAGATCCATTTATTCACTGAAAAACATGAGTGGATTGTCTTGTTCTCTCTCTGTCCCCTCCAGGGCTCCAGCATGAAGGTATTTTTCGAGTGCCAGGGTCCCAAGCACAGGTAGCAGAGATTCGGAATGCCTTTGAGAAAGGTGAGTGGGGAAGTGCTTAAAGGCAATGGGCTGTGGGGAGAGAGAATGAGAGAGAAGAAAGGCAAGCTCACTCGACACTGGAGTTTGCCAGAAGGAAGGCAAATACGCAAGGGGTCGATGCTTTTTCTGCCGGAGGACACAGTGAGCAGGGATGGGATGTCTAGCAACTTGGAAGGGGCGTGCCGAGGGAAGAAGGTGTAACCGGTATGTAGCCAAAGCAAGGGGCAGGAGTACGGGGTCTGGGAAGCACCTGAGAACTACACCATGGCTTGACTTGGGGCACATAAGCCCCTGAGCATGTGCCAGGGCCCTTTCTTCACTGCCGAGCCACTGCCCTTCTCCAAACCCTTGGGATTATTGAGGGAAGGGCTTCAAGGATGAAAGGGAAGGCTTCTTATGCAGGTTGTCTCAGAGACCTCTCTCTCCAACTCATTCGCCTCACCGGTGTGATCACTGCTTCTAGTCCATAGGTTTTTCTTTTATTTATTTTTTAAAAGTACCTCACAAGGCTCCCAAGGCACATCTAGTGGACAATTCCCATTTATTTTATCCTCACAGTGGGCCTCTGATGTAGGTTAGCCTGGGAGATGGTGTCTTGCCCCTGACCATCCAGAAAATTCTGTAGCTGAAGGAAGGATTTGGACCACGTTTTCCCAGGCAGGACAAAATGCTTTTGCTCATGCATCATACTGGCTCAGTCTCGGTGGCTTCTCTCAGCCTGCCCACAGCTTGAAAGATGTTCAGGATCATGGGGATCCGGGGGGCTTATATGGGTGGGGAAAGGAGGATGGCTTCAGTGATGATCTCCTCTCCTCCAGGTGAAGACCCACTTGCAGATGGGTTCACACAGCATGACCTGGATTCAGTAGCTGGAGTGCTGAAACTGTATTTTCGGGGACTGGAGAAGCCTCTCTTTCCTTGTGATATTGTTCCTGAGCTGCTAGCAACAGCCCGTAAGTGTGTGTACACTCACGTGTGTGTGGAAGCATATGTGCATGCACGTGCAGATCTATGTTTTAGGCTATTTATTAATGACCCTGCCTATAGATTTTAGTTTACGTACATGGTGTGTATACAGATACATGCAAAGGCATTCCATCGTGGAGCATGTGTACTTTGGAATTTCTTCCAAAATCTGAAGGAATGACTGATATACAAATGTGGAAGTTTTCTTGCCCCAGACTTTTGAAAACAAATTTCTTTTCCTTTGGAGATACTAAAATTGCCCAAAGAAGAAAACCACTCTGCTGTTTAAATTGCTCACGTACTAGAACTTGTCAGAGGGAGAAATGCTAATTCCAGAGAGCAAGCAAGCAAGAAAATGAATTAGTTATGATTTATGCTGGCTCACCTGGTTGTTCTGCTCTCTTACCTCTCACCTCCTTTCCTGCCATTCCTCCAGGATACTCCATGGACAGGAATGAGGCTCCTCTAGAGGAGGCCTCTGGAGAAGGAGCTGGAGTTGATGCCTGACCTGCTCTTAAGCACATGGGGTGGGGGTAATCCTCTGGGCAGCACTTCCTCAAAGGGCAGCACTGCTCAGCCGACTCCCTTGCTTCTGCTTAAGAGGAAGCCTCCCAGGGTCCCCTGACCCCAGTCCCAATTACTGGAGAGGCAGCAGCAGGGAAGCTGGGCTTGAGCACTCCAGGAACTGAACACATTTGCGTTGTCCAGCTTCCCCCTTCTCCACTCCTGCCTGAGCACCTTTCTCTTGAGCTGGAGCAAAGAAGGTGGGCCAGGCTAAGTGGGGAATGCACCCCTGCCTAGCCCAGGCCTCCCAATCTCCATTTCTAATAGAAAGTTGCTTGAGCAGGAGCCAGGAGGGGAAGCCTGGGCTAAGCTAGGAAGTGCTGAGAACAGAGTGTCCCTGCCTTGCCTGGATGCCCCCTTCCCTGCTCTTGCTTGAGTGGCTTTCTTTTGAGAAGCAGCAAGAAAAGGGGTGCTTGGCTAGGCAGGGAAGCTCCTTTCTTGGGTGCTCCAGAGAAACCCCCTCAGGCAGGAATGGGGGAGGAGCAATCAGCTGGGGGTGCTGCAGAGGGCTGGCTGGCTGCTAGCCACATCCCCTGGATAGCTGCCTGGCAAGGAGGCAGCAGCTTGTGGCCAGCTTGCTCTGGTGGTTTCCCTGTGATGGGTCACTGCCCATATTTGGAAGGTACAAGAAGTCATTGTGGTAGGGAGAAACCCCAGAACCCTAGTTGCTGCTTAGTGTGGTTTTCAACCCAGTAAGTCACGATGGTAAATCACCATAAATAGGTTTGGACAACATGACAAGCATTTGTTGATAGCAAGCAATGATTGCCACTTGTGGTGTACAAACGTGTGCACTGAATAATTCTTGACTTGTAGGCTGGACAATGATTTTTAAAGAATGTTCAAAATAATTTTAAACACAAAACAGAGATGCTTGATGCAGTAATACAGGCTTATAAACAGCATTTTTCTGGTCACCTCTGGCAACAAAAACAGCCAAACAAAACTCCTGCAACGGACCAAATAAGCAAGTTTTATAACACGTTTCTGTGACTCTCTGTCTGTCTATCCTCCATCCACCCATCCATTCATCCATCTATCACTTAAATGTTGTTTAATAAATACCTGAGTGGTTTACATGTAGCAATATTACAATCACAGCATTAAAATATACTATGAAAACTTAGCAGCAGTATTACTATATTTATTCATTGCATTTCTAATCCACCCAGTAATCAACATTTCCCCTTGTATTGTAGTATTGCACTTTTAAGAACAGTTTTAGCTATGATAGCAATAAAATGGAGCAGCAAAATTATACGTTGCAATGAATTATAAGCCGAAAAAAGCATGTTTAAACAGGTGCATTTTCAGGAAGTGTTTAAAAAGTGTTTAAGTGTTTAAAAAAGTAGCACATTTCCTGCCTCCTGAGCAGCACTACCAAAAGGGCTTATCTTTGTGATACCACGTGGCACATTTCTGTTGTGCATGGATTGACCTGCAAGGCCTCCTTTGAAGCTCTTAAATGCGAGCTGGCTAGGGAGGGTGCACTGCTGGTCCCAGTCCCAGGTTGCTTGAGGTTTTGTGTGTCAACAGCAGACCCTGGAACAAGGCTCCATTGCTAATGGGCAGCTGGCACAGTTCTTCTAGCACAGGAATAACATGAGCATGGTTGGGTACTTCACAGAGCATCACAGCTGCTACAGTGCCCTGCCCTAGTTGCAGCTCTTGAACCCGGGGCAAGGGCAGTCCCACAGAGAACACATTACAGTGATCTAGTCCTGTAGTGGCAGACACAAACAGGTCAGCTGGCCATTTTATTGTCTCTGTCTGCAGGCAGCTCCACCTGTGGCTGCAGGTTCTGGTCCACCTGTACCCACTGCTCCTGGCTACCGCCATCAAAACAAGCCCAGTCTTCCCAGATCCCAAGCTCCCTTGCTTCTTTGGGAATGACCACTCAAGGATCCCACTGGGGCCCTCTGAATGGGCTTCTCTGCTGCTTGCCTGTGTTCTCGGGGATGCATGGCTAGTTTGCAGAGTGTGACATGCAGCCTGGGTGTTGAAACGCTGCAGCGGGACCCGGAGCCAGCACAGCACACCTCTTGTGGGCTTCGCCTCTTTGCCCCCAAAGCACATACGCTGGGTTTTGGTGGAAGTGGGATAAAAGATGGATCAAGGATTCAAGAAAGAGTACAGAATGGGAAGAAGATTTGTCAGATTCTAAGCACAATCCAGTAGGTGCTTTAGAAAGTGCACAAAGCAAGAAGTAGATCAAAGTGGCAAAGATCACGCGAAAGGGAAAATGCTATCTAGCTAGCTAGCACGGCCCAGCATGAAGCTGCCCTTTTGGTTCCTTGAAGATCTACCAGGTCTGTGGCAAAGTTCTCATGGTCTCCTCTACCCAGTCCATGCCTGGAGAACCCTTCGGCAGTTTCTCTACCTGCCTGCCTTGGGCTCACTTACTTCCAGGAGACTTGTTCATGGCACTTATGCTGGAAGGGAGAGGTCACCAACTTCATTTTATGATGGCGTATATTTCCCATGTTCCCTCTCCACCTACCTGGGTGGAGTTTTCAGAAGAATCTCTTGTTTTTGTGTCCGCTGGCTGTTCAGGAACGGCTAAGTGGAGACACAGGCAGGTTATTTGCATTGCAGTGCCAGAGACCTGTAGGTACTTGCTAAAGGGGTCTCTGCATCTTGGACCTGGGAAAGATGGCATCAGCATGGTCTGGCTGAGTGGGCCACTCCAGGCTGACTATAACGATTCCATTTGCACGAAACTGGAAGTAGAGAGGAAGTTGAATCATCTCTGTTTTGTGTCTCCGCCGTGGTTCCTGTGCTGACTGTACAAATCAACTTAGCTCTCGGTGTGCCTTGTGAGCATTGGGTGCTGTAGCTCAGTCACTGTGTGTTTAATACAGGCAGTCCCCAGGTTACAAACAAGTTTCATTCCCGAGAAAATGGAAATTCATCCTTAAGTTGAATTTATATGTAAGTCAAAGCTTGCATTGCCCTCCACATTTGTGGGGGTTAGGGATGCAGGACCCCAGTGCAAGTGGAAAAAATGGGAATATCTCTAGCCTCTCACTAGTGCCTCCTCTTTGCAGGAAGGAAATGCCAGAGAGATTTTCCTCTCTGGGTGGGTGGGACAGGAAGACATGCTTTGGAGGCCTCTCTCCCCCCTTTCACTTCCCCTTTCTCTCTTTGTGGTGATGCATTGGAGGCCTTCCCCCTCTCACTTCCTGTTTCTCTATGGTGATTTTCCTTAGTATTTAAAAAAAAAGGCTTTAGGGCAGTTCATTCGTAAGAAAGGGTTGTTTGTAACTTAGACATTTGTAACTTGGGGACTGCCTGTCCCTGAAACAGACAGTTCCTGGAAGCAGCATGTGTGTCGACAGCATCTGAAACGACCTCTTCTCCTGGATGCATGTTGGGGAGATGGAGCCCAACAACAACAGACAGGTGTCTTCCTTTTTGGGGTAATCTGCCTCCAGCCAGCCTAAGGAACTAAGAACTGCAAAGCCATCATTTGCCTCTCCACTGTGAAATCATCATGTGCAGTCTCACTCTGGAGTTGGTCAGAGGCTAGTTTGATATCTACATGGGATCTCTTTAGGTTGTGGCTGATGTATCTTTGTGGCTTGCTTCTCCCAAGGACACCGATGCCAATTTTCAGCTATACTTAGAAAGCCACTGAAACAATAGTTGTTGTTTTTTTTAAATGAGGAATTTGGTACTGAGGAGTTATTTGCTTGTTGCCAACTTTCCCCCATGGTTGGCAATTTTGGAGTTGGCCTCAGCACATGTACTCACAATTGTGCCTCCCCATTTTTGGGCAGTATTTCTTCCACAAGTTTTGCCTGGCTGGCAGGTAGCTTCACAGCTCCACTGACCCCTCACTAAATCAAATATGAACCATAGTTCTCTTAACAACCTTGGCTTGTAAACCATTGCTTTGAAACATTGGTCAAATTCTGATACATTAGCAAACCATGGATAGTCTCAAAGAGGTAATACTACTCTCTAGTTAATGCTGAAAGCAAGGGAAAGCATGGGAGAACTTGCTGCTGAGGAAGGAAGGAGAGGGAAAGGGTCATATGTTCTGTGGCTGGCCCCCAATTTGCAGGGAGGGAGGCATTACAAAGCCTCTTGGAGCTATTTATTTGAAGGCCTTGGAATCTGCTGGATGTAAGCATTGTTGACTTTGTAACTATTGTCATTTTAGCAGGGATGGGGATCTCTGACCTGTGGCCTTATCTGGCTCAAGGAGGTTCCCCATCCATCCCATCACTCTGCCCCACAACCTTTCCTTGCCAGTCTCTGATCCCTGCAAGCCAGCAAGAGACGAACTCTGTTCACCACAGCGATTCCCCTGTGTCTCTCTCACTCCCTCAATTGGGAGGGCAAGCAGCATGCAGGAAATCCCCACTATTACCTCTAGCCATTGCTTAGAGATAACACTAGAAGATCTACTCCCCACCAGAAGAGCATTTCCTCCCTGCACAGAGAAGTAGAGAAGGGTTTATTTTTTATTTTTGGCTCTTGGCTTAATTTTTTAAAAATATTTTTTGGTGCAGAAGTAGGCATTTTCCTCTGCCCAGAAAAAGGCCCGTCTCTCTATGGAGACAAATTTTTGCCCTCTGTGTGCAGGTGGAAAGGAAGCTCTTGGCTGCTCTCTGCATTTTGCCAGGTACAGAGAGGCATGCCCCAGTTTTCCTTGGCATGGAGAAACTGCAGCAGGATTGCAGGGCATGAGGATTGGCAGAGTGGTCACCAGGCAGTGGGTGAGAGATCTCACTGGCTAAAAAGTCCACCACCCCTGGATTATGGCCCATGGTCAGTTTATTGGATTTTAATGATTAGTTTTAAGAATGTGTGTGTGGCAATAACTTGGGGGCTCCTTATGAGTCAGAAGTTTAGACTGGAATGGAAATAGAACCAAATGAAACGAGTTTATACATTTCCTTAATTAGTGCATCAGGTATGCACAACCCTTGTGCTTTGGAGGGTGGAGGTAGGGATGCTATTTTTACACCCTCGCACATCATTTTCTGCACAGGCTCCGCCACTGAAAGATCCCTTTCTATGCTCTCTGTGGTTTAGGCCTCCGAAAGTGTTCGTGTGTAGATAGAGAGGGGGATCTAGCAGCTTTATTGGGCTGACATCTGTCAGTGCAGGTGCGGAGGAGGGAGAGAAAGATCCCTGGTCCTAGAAGTTTACATTCTAACATTTGACAGTATTCTGTAGGGGAATTGGCAAATGGAAGGGAAGAGACAGGCAAATGGGGAAGTGAGGACAACAAGGTTTTGAGATACTCATGTGCTTAACTAGGCATAATGGAACAGTTCCCAGCACTGAGATGATGCCTTAGGATGCAATCCTAGGCAGCGTTGGACACAAAAAGGTCCTGCAGCTCTCTGCATTCCTCACTCATCTGGGCTAGTTGGAGCATGCTGGGAGTTGTAGGGCTTTTTCTGTGCCCTACACATTCATAACATACCAATAGAAATATTTTAGGTGCTTCAGAAGGATGATGTCCTTGGACACTTATTGTATCTTACAGAAAGATCATGCAAGCCAGCAGAGGGGCTGACCATGCTGCAGAGATGCAGCTGTTACTGTTTTAGTGTAGAGGAAGGGTAGGAATTCTAAAACCCCAAGTGTAGGAATTTATTCATTTATTTAAAATGCTACAGAATGCCCAAGCAGTGCACAAAAGAAGCATCAGCTAAAGCTCAATAAGGTCCACTCCTTCTCCCAACAGGCAAAGGCCATTTCATACAGGTGGGCCTTTGTTGTGTGAGCAAGCTGGTTGAACTGGATGTTGGTTTTGCTCTGTTCTTGTGCTTTCAATTGCTTTTCATTGTATTTGCTCATTCTTAATTGAGCTAGTTTATAAGCCGCCTGGAGTGCCATTTTTGGTAGAAAGGTGGGATGCAAATAAAAATAACCATAAAACAATGCAGTAAAATAGCATTTAGGCTTAGTGCAATGTAGTGGCTGCTAATCAAATCTAGCTATAATTATACCTCAAGGGTGGCTTGCTTGAACAGAAGAGCCATATTGGAGAGGGAGTCCCATCATGGAGGTGCTGCTTTGCCAAATGCCCTGCTCCACAAAGTTGCAAAGTACACGCCAGAAGCACGTGGCACTACCAGTAGGATGCCCGCAGATCAGGAGTGGGCAGAAAGAAGCCCCTCAGAGGCTGTGGAATTCAGCCTCCAGAAACTTCCACCCACAGGGCCAATAGCCGGGAATGCTGGGTGTTGAAGTTCAAAGCATCCTTCTGCTCACTCCTGCTAAAAATGACTGCAGCAAGTGGGCAGGGATTTGCAAGGTCAGAGAGTCCCTGGTAGTTCATGGCTTTAAGCATTAGCAACAAACCTTGCACCTGGCCTAATAGCATACAGGCTGCTGGTGCAGCTCCTTCAGCCAAGGTGTTACCTGCCGACTTTCAGTTGCACCCATCCACAGCCACCCCACCTGCTGCTCCAGCACTGTGCCTGGACATGTTTGTGTACATGAGTGCCAGGCCAACCTGCTGCCACTGCCTCTGATCTTCTCAGTGGCTCTCTCTCTCACATTCCATGCTGCCCAGAACTGGAATCCTCCGCTGAGCGCATCTCCCACCTTCGAGCTCTGGTCTCCCAGCTCCCGGCTGCTGTGCTGGTGGTTCTGCGGTACCTGTTTGCCTTCCTCAATCAGTGAGTATCCAGGCACTGGGTGGACCACGTGCCTGCTGTGCAGCACCTCTTCCCCCTCCCGGGGTGCCCTGGGAGCAGGGCCCCATGTGGTAAGAGGACCGCCAAGAGAGCTCGTCTGAGCAAGCAGGGCTCTTCCTGGCACCGTCCCATGGGATGCATTTGCTCCTCGCAGCTTGTCTCAGTACAGCGACGAGAACATGATGGACCCCCACAACCTAGCTGTGTGCTTCGGCCCCACCCTGGTGACGGTCCCTGCAGGCCAGGATGCAGTGTCGGTGCAGCCCCACATCAACGAGGTGGTGAAGTGCCTGATCGTGCATCATGAGGCCATCTTCCCCGGAGCCAGCCAGCTGCCGGGGCCCCAGTATGAGAAGGTCATGGCACTGGCAGAGGAGTACTGGTATGAGGGACGGGGGTGAAAGGGCAGACGTTGTGTGAGCAAGTGTGGGTGTGTGCATGCGTGTCCATGTATGTGCATGTGACAACCCTGCCCCTAACTCTGTGCAGTCTGGGATGCGAAGGGGGGCTTAACCTTTTCCAGTCTGTGGGCCTTTTCTTGTTTCAGGGGAGTTCTTGGGCAGGAGGACACTGCAGTGGTGGGTGGGGCCAGAGGTGAATGGCGTGGGGCCAAAAGCAGGGGCATATTTCAAGTGAAAGTTCATATCACCAGTAACTGAGCAGCAAGGAAGGGCCTTTCGACCTTTTGGAATGGGTTGCACAAAAGCCAGCAGCTCCCACTGGAGCGGTTCTTGCAAGGAGGCCGAGGCCATCCTTCTTTCTCCTCTCTGACAGTGATGTGCTACCGCTGGAGGCCACAGCCGAGGAGCCCGAGACAGAGGGGACCCCGGAAACCCCCGCTAGTGAAGATGGTGAGTACGGGGGATCCAGTGCTGCGGGGAGGACGAGGCTGGTTCAGGCCTTAGTGATTTTTTAAATAGTAATATTTTTGTTGTACTTTCACATTCTCAATAAAAAATACAGACAGACCACATTTTAAGTAACAGTATGAATTAATAAAAGCAAAGCTGTTGATACCAACAGAAATGTTTTCCAAGCAATTAACAACCCTATACAAGAATTATATTAAACGATTCAAGCAAATAGCAGTAGCATTCTGGTCTAAGTGAAAAATTTAAGTTTAGCCGCACACCTTGAGACCCCAATTATCTTGTGGGTCAGGGTCACACGGCCTTCTCCTCAGGGGGGACACTGGCGAGGAGTTAAGTTCTGAACTGGTGGCACTTTTCCCCAGTCTCAGCACTTTTCCCAGGTTTCTGTGAGTGGACACTTTCGCTACTTTGAGAGATGAGGACCTGAGGTCAGGAAAAGTGTTGTGCTTCCTGTGGTCCAAGGGTCTTGCGTTAGGGGTGGTGGTGGGGCACAATCCTATTTCAGGGATTACCCTTGTTGCTTGGAGAGGGTGCAGCTCTGTTGCCTCAGCCGGGCAGATGCTTCTGAGCATGAGTTTAATGAGGGACACTGAGATTTAAGCCTGGGACCCTGGCATAGATCCAAGATCCAAGCTCTGTCAATGGCTATTTCTTGAATCTCAGAAGGGTATCTATGATTTCCTAACAAAATGACCAAAGGGGTGAGCACAACACTAAAATATGACCAAAAATCGAACTGCAAAGTAAGTGTTTCTCCCACACCTTCAGGATGTAGCTGGACAACCATTTGTTAGAAATGCTTTGTAGTTTTACATTGGGCAGGGGGCTGGAGCTAGTGGCATTGCTGGCCCCTTCCAACTCTGTTGTTCTTTGATTTCATCGATCAGCAGAAAAATGCATATAAAACAACCTCAGGAAATGGTGCTTCTTAAGAAAGAAGCCTTAATTAAGTCTGAAGTACAAAATTATGTATACCTGCTTGGCATCAATTTGAAGGGCATTTTGGGGGAGGGGTGCTGTGACACTAAATGCTTTGATTGACTAGTATCCATCAGATGAAACTGGCCACACTTTCTCCTGTGGATCTGCAGAAAGGGACTGTCCATTCTGAGGAGTTCTTCTGGACCAGAGTTGTGAGTAGAACAAGCTGACCTCCCAGTCTTGTGCTTTCTTGCCCTCCCAGAGTGCGACTCCCAGCCCGAGAGTGTTCCCCGCTCTGCTTCTATCACTCAACAGGAGGAGCGGTTTGTGCCACAGCGAATAGCTGCAGTTGGCTGGCGGCGAGCTGAGCGTGGTGGCAACCGGGGACTAGTGCCTCCCATTGTTTTGTCGGACAGGTGAGATGCACACCTTGACGGGACTCTCTCATGCTTTCTGCTGAGGGAGACAGGGGCAATCAACCCATGCAAAAAAAGCTGCAGACTTGAGGTGCTTCCAGGCAAAGGACTGCTGTTGCTAACAAGTGAAAGGTATTTCTTTTGGCTTTGGCAAAGAAAATGGATAGCAGAAGTGGTGGAAAGACACGGGAGGGCTACGGATGGAGGACGAGGTCATCTGGACTTCCTGCAAAATCTCCCAAATGGGGTGGTGAAATTGCACAATTTGAACCCTCTTCTGGAAGCAACCTAAAATCATAAAGCCAGGTTTATTGAAATAGGTTGCAGAGGTTAAAGTGTCAAGACAGCTGGTGAAGTCTTGCAGATGTATTCTCTGCTCGCAGACAAAAAGGTGATATGGAGTTGGGTGCACATTACCTAAAATATGACCCTAGAGGTTATGTCAGGGTTAAAAAAATCATGTTGGGGTTCCACAGCCAGTGCTTGGGACTATAGGACATGGAGGAGAAGGCCATTCAACCCGTTCCTCTCTCACCATGCTCCTGAAGAAGTCCTCCAGCACACTGCAAATAAGAACAGGGGGAAAAAACCATTGGTACCAGTGGGAGCATGTTTTACCATTTCCATCTGAGATATGGTGAGGAGTTTTGGTTGGGGGGATTGTGGTGGGGAAGAGGAAGAGACAAACCTTCCTCCCTTTTGTGATGTGGTCCAGAACTGGATTGTCACCCACACTTGGTAAAAAAAAACCCCCCAAACCCTGATGTCATCTCAACTGACTCAAAGTAATGTGTAGCTGGTCCATTGGTGTTCCATGCTGAAGACACATGAAACGCATCAGATGGAAGCATCCAGTGGTTTGATTAGTCCATGGCTGCAGTTGTAGACACTTCTCGGCAGCAACAGCTCACTAGTTCAGCTTTCTTTCTCTGTTTTGAGGATTCGTTTTCAAATTGACCTTTCTGGAAGGCTTTGGTGCCTTTGTTATAATGGCCTTTTCGTTTTTATCAGTTACTCAGTGGCAAGGCTGTATAAACCATTCTTCCTAGACTGCATCTTGGTCATTTCAGGAGATTAGTTGGAACACATAATAAACGCTGTCTGATTTTTTTTTCTTTTAATATGGTGACATTTCTTAATTTCTTCAGCAGAAAACAGCTGAAGCCAAGGCCTGGGAATGAATGGCAAATATGGGGCTGTGGGCTTGGTGTTGTTCCATGGGTCCCTTGTGGGCTGGGGTAGTATGCAGATATCTCTGTTTTCCATGCCCTGGTGCTCTAGACCACTCCTGCAGCACCAAAGCCATGCCTAGATCTAACTGCAGCAAAAGAGCTTTTTGTCAGATGAATATTGCAGGCCATATTCATATCTGGCCCACAGAGCCAAACGAGAGAGCATTGAAACCATTTCCAAAGAAGTTAAACTTCCCTGAGCCCAGTCAGGGCCGGCATGGGTTTCTGAAAAGGAATACTTTGTGAGCGTGAGCTAGGATTTAGGTTGCTTTCTCAGGTTTAGAGGTTTCCATTTTTCTCAGACCCCTTAGTGTGTCTCTGAGCCCCTGTGTTAAGGGTCTTTTTGCCTTGTTTCAGAAAGCAACTTTTTAGAGGTGAGTGTCAAGTCAGGCCTGGTCTACCCAGGTGATGGAAGAAGGTCAAATAATCCTCATTCAGTGGAATGCACTATATTATTTCAGGTTGTGGGTTATGCCGTTTTTGAAAGGGAATTCCCCCCCACCCTGCCCCCAATTCCTGTAGGTGGAAAATAAGCATAGCATACAGCAGGCAGGGCTAGAACTTTCGCCCTGTTAATTTTCTACTTGCAGAGCTGTTTTTTTTCATGCAAGGGAGCTCAGAAAAAAATTGAATTCTCTGTAAGTAGTAGAGTTCATTCTGTTATCTCGGGGTTCTAGCAAAGCCTTCCCTGGCCTGATGTTTTAGACTAGAACTCCCATGAGCATTGGCTGGGGCTGAGGGGAGTTTATTTATTTATTATATTTTGTATACCACCCTGTAGCACATAGGGCTCTCTGGGCAGAATACAACACTACAAATAATAAAACCAATTAAAACCAAATACACAACATTGACAACTCCTGGTGATTAAAAATGGCATACAAGATGTTGCATATTTTTTAAAAAATCCACCTTCCTTTTAAAATATCTGGCAAATAATGCCCAAAACATCTGGAAATCACCAGGTTTGGGAGAGCTGCTCTGGTGCCTTATTCTGCTGCATTTGTTTGTTTGTTTGTTTAAGATAATTGACACACAGCTTTTTGGGGCAAACTTTCTAGGGTAATTTCCAATAATTACTAAAAACCCAGAAAGACTGTTTGAAACAGAATGAAACACAGCAATGAGGGAAAGAATACATCAGCATTTAAAAGCCTGGGAAAATCAACTAGTGGTTTGCCTGTTCCCTGAAAGACATTATGTAGCTATCAGGCGAAGCTTTCTGGAGAAAGCTGTACCAGCCATGCCCTGTAGCAACAGAGGGCCTTTCTCCCGGAGTAGGCCTTGAGGCAGGCCTTGAGGAGTAATCTTAGTTATGGCAGCCTGGGGGATCTTCCATCTTGCAGGCCAGAGCTAGCCTATGGAGCCCCCTTGGATTCAGCAGGGGCCCTTGTCCCCCAGTCCCCATACCATGAAGGGACTCCCACTGTCACCGCAGCTCTAGAGCCTTGGCTGCCATGGCTCTTTTCCCACTGGCCCTGCCACCCACCAAGGGAACAAAAGGTGCCCCACAAAGCCAGGGACCAGCCTGCCTGAGTCATGAAGGGGACAGGGCCATGACATCTGGGAGGGAGGGGCAGCTCAGGCCATCCCCACCTAGGACTAGTTCCCCACCCCTGGTGTGTAGGCAGCTTGATTTGGGAGAGGATGCTCCTTCAACAAGTCCCAGCTGTGTGGGACTTTTCAACCTCTGGCCCAGCTTTTTGCTGCCTGAATAGATGAAGCCTCAGAAGAAGCCTCCATGGACATTTGGAAGAAATATGGCAGCACAGGGACACAAACAAGGGTGCAGGGAGGAGGACATAGGGGAGGATGTGGAATGGCTTGGTTGGTTGGGACTTCTTATGCCTGGGCTAAGCCAACCCTTCTGAGGGCAGGAGCAGGTGAGGGTCACCTGTGGCCCTCCCGGTGGCTTGGCTGCAACTCCCGTCAGCCTTCACCAGCCCAGCCAGCAGTGAGGACAGGTTGAAGTTACAGGCCAAAACATCTCGAGGGCCACAAGGTGGTTTCATGGGCTGAGCTTCTTGGAACAGGAACAACAGTGGTGGAAAGCAGGCACAGGAGTCCTGAGGAGCTGTCCCTCTGTGTGGAATGGCTAATTTAGGTTTGCCCACTTTTCAGGGGTGTGATGAGTGTGAGATCAGCGACTTCCCAGGTTGTCTGTGCTCTGAGCACCTCTCGCAAGGGGCCTTAGACTAGCTGGGGTCAAGGGGATGTCCTCCCATTTTTTAACAAGTTTCTATTTCCCCCTATGGCTTACCCTGGCAGCGAGAAACAGTCTAGCCCCCGGAGTTCCAGGTTAGAGATTGACACGGGACCCTCCCTGGATGAGCTACTCCTTGAACCCGCCAGCAGGTAGGAGAAGGTTGTGGCAGATGGACCTCTTCCCAAGAAGCTGCAGCATCTCAGCGCTGTGTGGTGGAGGATGCCGACCCCTGTCTGAATGGTTGCTTTCCACCCCCGAGATGGCTGTGCCTGCAGCCGGAGCTGGGTGATAAGCAGATGCTCTCTCTCCCCCCCACCCTCTCTCTCTTAGGCTACGGGTGAATTCAGATGCAAGCAGTGGGGGGCGCCAGCGTGGTGGGAGCAGCCCCATACGCAAGCTGGCATCACCCTTCATGGATGGGGGCCGTCTGCCCTTCCCCCTCCTGCCCCCTGCCCACTCTCGGACCTTCCACCCTACCGAAAGGTGAGAGCCTTGGCAGCAAAGGGATGGGGCCAGGCAGGCGGCCCAGAGCTTGCGAATGTACTCCAGGGGAGGAGGGGGGGGCGGGGCGGGACGGGACGGGACAGGTATTCAAGGGCTGCTCTTACCTTACCAGAATGGTGTGGGGAATTTTTTTTGTAGGACTGGATCTTGTTGCCACTTTAGCAAAGTCTGTAGGAAGCATTTCCATAGAGTGGGAGAAACAGGAGGTGTCTCGCCCCTACAACGCCGCTGATGTTATCAGAGTGGCATGGGATCTGGCCACGCAGAAGCAATTTCTGTACTACTCTGGTAGCATAAGAATTGGGCTGTAGGTTGGAGCAGAGTAAGCCAGAAAAGCCTGAGTGGAATGAGCAAGTCATCTTTCTGAGTGCTGATGGGGAGGATACAAATTTGAATATATTAGCAACATATTAGCAACAGTCACAAAGCTCCCTGCAAGGTCAAATCTAGTACAGCAGGGATAGAGCAAGCTTTTTCCCCTTGCTGAACCCATTTTGCACTTCTCTTGCCTTTTGTTGTTGTTTCTGCTGTGGCGGAGCATTTGAAAATGGTACTGGGAGGGGGTATGGAGCTCTTTGCCCTCCCACTCTGCATGTGGCTGGCAGGAAGGAAGGAGGGGCTACAGAGGAGCCAGGGAAGCAATGGAGGTGGAGACAAAATGAGGCTAGGAAGGGTCAGAAACAAAGAGGGACACAGTGTAATAAAATGGTAAGTGACACAAGTGCTAGCATAAGAAACTTGACACACGTGTGGTGAAACAGGGAAGTGAGGCAAACATTATCTGAGTGTGTCTGAAACGGAACAGATATCAATAGATATAAAGGGAGCTGTTGCTACCCAAAGAATAAGGAAGCCCCTTCATAGGCTTTTGGTACACTCTGGTAGTTGATGGGAAGGAAAATGTGTGGTTAGAGGTGCCATTCCCAAGTTACAGAGGCACCCTAAATCTGCAGCATGTCCTCCTCCCAAGGAAATTTACACTAACAACTTCCTTTGAAGCACCAAACCTTATTATTATTATTATTATTATTATTATTATTATTATTATTATTATTATTATAACATTTCTATGCCGCCCCTTGCCGAAACCTCGGGGCGGCTTACAACATGATAAAATACATTGAAATACAATAGTACATAATAAATTACTATTAAATATAACAATACAAAAAATACATTGATTTACAAATACAAAATTAAAATTATCAGTATAAAATAAAAATATAGGAGGAGAAAGAGAAGGAAGAAGAAGTTGCCCAGGCCAGATCATATGTTTTAACAATTGAAATGATGTTTAAATAAAAAGGTCTTTACCTGGCGCCGAAAAACCAGTAACGACGGTGCCAGGCGGACCTCTTTGGGGAGTGAATTCCATAGGTTGGGCGCCACCGCAGAGAAAGCCCTCCTCCGGGTACTTACTCTCCTAATTTCTTTCATGGAGGGTTCCCGGAGAAGGGACTCTCCCGCAGATCTCAAAGGGCGGTCGGGCATATACGGACGTAAGCGCTCGTTCAGGTAGCCAGGACCCAAGCCGTTTAGGGCTTTGTAGGTCATAATCAACACCTTGAATTGGGCCCGGGCTTCAATGGGAAGCCAGTGAAGCTGATGGAGGACTGGAGTCATGTGAGCATAACGCCCCGTCCCCGTCAGCAACCTGGCAGCTCTATTTTGCACCAATTGAAGTGTTCGGACTGTCTTCAGGGGAAGCCCCACGTAAAGCGCGTTACAGAAGTCTAGGCGGGAAGTCACCAGCGCGTGTGTCACCGTCGCCAGGCAGTCGTACTCCAGGTAGGGGCGCAGCTGATTAATCAGCCGAAGCTGAAGGAAGGCGTTCCTTGCTACCGCTGTCACCTGAGCTTCCAAAGAAAGCTCCGGGTCGAGGAGTACTCCTAAGCTGCGGACCTTATCCCTAAGAGGGAGTGTTGCACCATTCAGGACCAGGTCAAATCCACCCTCTCCGAAACCCGATCCGCCAACCAACAGGACCTCCGTCTTGTCTGGGTTGAGTTTCAGTTTATTGGCCCTCATCCATTCCCTTACCTCGGCCAAGCACCGGTTCAGCACAGCCACTGCCTCTCCTGGATTAGTAGAGAATGAGAGGTAAAGCTGGGTATCATCAGCGTATTGATGATTCCGCAGCCCAAACCTTACAGATCAGGGAAGAGAAGTGGCAAGTTTTCAAAATGAGGCCTAGAACCTGAATGGTGCGGTTAGATAGCTAGTGGTCCAGTTCACACAACATGGCAGGCCGTCATGGTTTCGTTAACCAACAATTAGCTGCAGGGAATAAGGGGCAGGTGCAGCCACTGTTTTGAGTAGAATCGCCTCTGATCAGGCTGATTGGGGTTACCTATGCGGGTTGTGGCATGTCTTGTGAGTTCCACCATTGTTGGTTAATCAAGAGTTAAACGATGCACCCAACCTTTAACCCTTGATCAACCCATGATGGTTGGGTTTGCACATCATACTGCAACTTCTGGTCATTCTGTAGGCTGTGTATTCACAATGGTGGCCACACATGCCTCACACACACAGAGGGGCTAATCATAGATTAATTCACCCATGATAATCTGCTGTGTTGGGTGAATCCGCCCAATGTGAAGTCCAGAACTTGATGCGTTGTCCTGTGCTTTTCCCCAGGCCAGAGCGCTGGGCCGAAGTCCCCCCACGGCCCTGGGGAGGCAACAGCTCTGAGAGGCAGGGGGCAACAGAGAAGCGTGTGGAAGTAGACAAGGTAAGGTATTATCCTTTTTTTTCTTCTCCCAGTAGCATTTCTGGTTGCCAGTTCCTCTTTCTGCCTTCACCGTTCCTTCCCTTTCTTCCTGTTTCCAGGAGGTTGCCAGAAATATGGATTCTGTGTTCAAGGAACTTCTTGGAAAAACTAGCTTGAAGCACATGGGGGCTGATGACCCCTTCAACCACCCTGAACCACCAGACACCCTGAAGAGCAACCCGGGCAGCAGGAAGGCTGCCACCCCTGCCAAGCAGGCCTCTGCAAACAGGATGCTTTTGCGGGGCAGGGTGGTTTTCAAATCCTCGGGGAATGGAGAGTGAACCAGACTTGGGGTGGGGGAAGGTGTCCCCAGGTTGACCTGCCCAATACTGTGATTATATCCCCCCCACTCCCCTTCATATTTTGAATGCCAGCTCAGGGCAGATGTCTCCCTTTCTCTCAGCCCAGTTGCAAAATGATTTTGGAGAGTGGTGGGAAAGTTGATGATCTGATTTTAATCGGAGCTTGATTTCCAAGCCAAACGTTTAAGGGGCATTTGCTTTATCCAGTGCTCCCATGCACTGGTGGCGAGTCTGAAGGTTTTGATGTTGTGGATGTGGGTGGATGCTTAAACATATAGCAACCTTTTAAGAGTTGTGCTTGGGCCTGGCACCCCACCCATTCAGTCTCTCCTTGGCTACAAAAGGTTTGCACTTGGATTTGCATGTGAAAGCGGTGAGACGGGCTGGGGTCCAAGGGACCCATTTCTTGGTTCTGTTCTTGGCTGTGGGAGGGGAATATTGTCTAGTGGGTTACGATGCAAATGTTGAAAGGGAGGGCTGTCTCTTGTACGTGTGTTCTGTTCCTAACACGCTTCACACAGGCCTTCGCCAGCCGTGTGCTCCTCTTTCTTCCTCCTTCCAGCCCCCCGCGACGAATCCCATGGTGCTTTACACATTTGTCTGAATTTGTAAACTCTTCCTTCACACTCTCCCTGGTGCAACCTCATCCATCCCTGCACGCATCACCCTCCTACATTGGGGCAATAAGTAAGGGGAGATAGTTGGGGTGGGAATTCATGTGCCAATTCTTTTCCCTACATACAAGGTTCGGTTTATTCCTTCCCCCTCTGCACACACTTTTAAAAAAAGTCTTAACCGCTCAGTATTAATCAGGGCTGTGTGTACTTTTTGCTTCAGAATTCTGTGCAAAGAAAAGCTGAATTCTGCGATCTGTATAAATCATGCAAATTAAGCAACCTTGCGGGGATTCTCTTATTTTTTTATAATGTATTCTGATCGTGTTAGTGGAATGTTGAGGTGGGAGGATATACAGGGCCCCGAAATCCCACTGTCTGGCTACTGGAAATCTTACTTGGGCATTTCCAAGATTTCAATACAGATTGAACCCCCACTTTCAAGCATATCTTTGCAGCCATTTCAACTAGATATTTGCTCTTAAGAAAGATAAAACTGCGATTCTATGCCCAATATACCCTCCTGTGTTTTTGTTTTTCTGTGTCCCCGCAGAATTGCAGTGTACACACGGCCCTGGTATTAACCTCTTCTCCATGACCAGAGATGGTTCCGTACTGTGATATTCCTCGCTGTCTCTTTAACCTTCTGTCTCTTGCAATAAACTGGATTTGTAAGCTCTCCGCAAAGAGTGCCCGCCAGTCGGGATTTTATACAGAATAAACAAGACACTGAAGGATTGCTTGGGCTTTATTTGCATACAATGCAGGGTTGTTGTTGTTGTTTTTAAAAAAAATCTGATAATGCTCATCTTTAAAGCATTAGCTCACACAAATGGCTGGACTTGGGACTTAAAACTGGAGGTGGCTGTTGACTCTTGAGGTGTTCACAAATGGGGCTGTGCTTGTTCAATTGCACGGTTTGTAGGGATTCAGACAACAAAGTCTTCCTTGTGTAGCACTCCCCTGCTTTCCCACTGCTCCTGTCCTTTCCTCACCAGGGGAAAAGCTGTCCAGGAAGAAAAGGTGGAATAACTGCACAAGTCCTGTGGTTGTTGGCATCTGGAAGAACCCTTGGGATAAAGATTGGTCTCTCCCTCCTGTGAAACAGCTGCAGCCATGTTCACTCTTGCAGGGCACAATTCTATGTTTGATTAGACAGAAAAGAATCCTACAACTGCCAGCATACTCCAACCAGCATGCATAGAATAGCACCCTAAATCCTATAGCTGCCCATTCCCCAGTAGTGGAGCTTTAACTGAAAACCAAAAACACTCCAGTGGTGGAGGAAAGAAACCTTGCTAAAATCTGAATGGTGGCAGGCCTTTTAGGAATATCACCTCAGCTTACCCTTAAGATGGGAGAGCAATCTGAGCCTTGAGGCAGGCTGGCATTCAAGGGGCCACGATCTGCTCCATGCAGCCACTGAGCTTGGAGCAAGGAGTCAGGGGAGCCCAGCTCCATAGTTCCTAAAAGTCTGTGAGTGTGCTTTGCTTGAGAGAGAGACAGACGCGTGATGCTCAGTTCACCAACCCAGCAGCATTTTCCTGCCTGCTCTGTAATGCACCTGTGGTTGCCATTGTGCTCTCACTTCCCCTGCTGGGAGAAGAGTGGCACTGATCAGATGCCCCCCCATTCCTATGCACACCTTCGCTTGAGAAGGTAAGTGTTGCAGTGGACCAAACTCTGATCTTGTGGTTGTCCACCCCTTGGAGAGGATGCTTTTTGGCAAAATCTGGAACTCTTCCATCACCAGGAGGGGTGATGCTCTGTCCCGCACAGAGAGCCACTGTGAAATAGCTGCCTCAGGCAACAGGTATCGTGCAGCACTGATCCATGGAGAGGATGCCACTGGGAATGGACGGCAACACAAGCCACAGGGAAATGAACTGGAGCTCTGGCACGACTCCCATTTATTTCAACAGGGCTTGTGCAGGCAAACTTCCCCGTAGATTCCTCCCCCTATTTGCTCAGATTAACCCCCGTGGGCCAGCCGTTTATGAAAAGAGGATGGAGGCAGGGCACTAAGGTGTAGGTTTGGGGCCTGACTGTTCCCACCATCAGGACTCAGCCTGGGGAGACAAGCAGAGGAGGATGAGCAAGCACCGGAGTCCCGTCCTGGTCCACAACCAAGCCTCAGTCTTTGGTGCGCTCCTTGCGCAGGGCCACTCGGACGTCGCTGCAGACCTTCCCCACGGCTTCAAAGAGTGGGTCGCAGAAGGTGCGTATGCAGAGGGCGTAGCAGCGGCCACAGCACTGCACCTCTATGAGGTAGCTCTTGATGCAAGGCACAGCCCCCCAGATGTGGCAGAAGGAGACGCAGGCAAAGAGGAAGCCCCAGAGCAAGGCCAGTGGCACCCCCAGCACCCCTGACAGGATCCGGTAGCACCAGTACTTGCTGACTGTGAAGGTGGAGCTGCTGGCCTTCCACACCCCGTCAAAGCTGTGGGTACCCTCTGGCTCGGCGATCACATCTTCAAAGTCCACCTGGCAAGGTTGGAGGAGAGGCCTCGAGTCAGGCATGGCTTAGTTTTAATCAGACATCCTTTTCAGAATAAGCACAGTGCTCCTGAGCAAACATAGAGTGCATTCTTCCATGGCTAGCTATAGCCACCTTGCACATCTGAGGCTAAGGGGAAGCTGCTTCCAGATGTTAGCGGTGAGTTTTAAGTATACTTTGGCCTTGGGCAAAACATTTCAGGCAAATTCAGCTCACAAACCCCACGGTCACCCCTGTTACGGCTAAAGATGATTTTGGGTAGAGAAGCAGCAGGAGGGCAGGCTCACCTCTCCTGCACTTTGTAACTGCCCTCACCAAAATTGTTCTCCTCCTCCCTGGGCTTCTGATTTGCAACTCTGCTGGAGAATTGTAGAAGTCAGGGCAAGGGTTGGGCACCCTCTTCCCCTCACTGCTTCTCTACTCCAAACTCTGGCTTCTGAAAGTTTTCCATGAGAACTCCCTACACACACACACACAACTCTCATTCTCACAGGCAAAAACCTTTGGATGGGGTATGATGACACCCATGGAGAAAACTCGTTTAAGCAGAACATGTCAACCTGTATTTCCTACGTGCTGCTCTGGCAGCTTCCTCATGTCCTGTTCCTCCATTTCTGTAGAAACATTTAACTATGTTGCATCTAGAAAGCTTGCAGTAGCCTCAGGTCCAGCCAGTCCCAAAGAGCCCTTTCCCCAATAGGCACCTCCTGTGCATTAAGGTGAGTGCAGGGAGCACCCATTTTGAAGGCAGTGTCTTACAGTGGCACATGAGGGACAGTAAAGAGCAGAACCATCATGGTGGGGACCTCCTGGCCTGTGGAATCCTCTTGGTCAGAGATACTTGTCTTTACAGACTGATTGCTTAAGCTCAGCTTTAAGAGCCTGTAATTTCCTTCCAGTGATGCGCTCCCTCATGAGGAAAAAGGAGCCTGTGGTGTCCACCAGCACCATTAACAGCGGCAGACAGATCAGACCATCCCCAGCTCCCCCCACCCACCATTAATATGATGGGCATTTAGTTGACGATGCATTCATTTTGTCATTTCCAAGCATCATTTTTTATTTTTTCCCACTGTGCAGCCTTTTTATAGCCCAGTTAACTTCCTTATCAAGTGAGGTAACCAGCAATTCATAGAACCATAATGCTGAAGACAGAGAACTGCATCCAGTTCTTAGCCAGAAGCACAATAAACAGCAAGGTGACCAGCAAGTCCAGTATGGCTATCCAAGTTGTGCGGGGTCTGGTAAAATCCATGATTCTGTTTGCAAGGTTATGCCTTACATAAGTCTCTTCAATACCTCTCAAACAGTACCTTACATAGTCTCTTCTTAATAACCATTGATGGGGAATTTGTGGTGGCTGGCCTGACAGGATGAGACTCCTTAAGAAAGGATGAGACTCATTAACTTTAGGGAAACAAAGCAGCTCTTGGTATTGCCAGTGTCTGGATAGTGAGACCAGCTGGATCTCCAGGTTTGCTGCTCCATAGAATAGGATAAATAACCTGTTTTTCCCCAACTCCAAATGTTTCAGACTCCAGTAAGCATCAGGCAGCATGACCAGTAGTCAGGAATTATGGGAGCTGCTGACCAAATCTGGAGGATTCCTACCCTTGCAGAGGAAAGGTGGGGTATAACTGTAAAAAAAAGTTTCAGATATTTCCTATTACTAGTGTGCACCCTTAAAGCCATATCCCAGTGTGGTGTAGGGGTTAAGAGCCTGGGCCTGGGACTCAGGTGATCTGGGTTTGAGTCCCCGCTCAGCCATGGAGCCAACTGGGTGACTTTGGGCCAGTCACAGACTCTCAGCCCAACCTACCTCACAGGGTTGTTGTTGTGGGGATAAGATGGAAGAGGAGAATGATGTAAGCTGCCTTGAGCCCTTTGTAGGAAAAAGGCAGGATATAAATCGAAAAATAAATCAAAAAATAAATAAATATCTATGGTTAAAAGAAAAAGAAGGTGATAAAAAGTTCCAGTGGATATCAAGCTTTCTTGAGGTGATTAGCACAAAATGTGGGTTACTGTGATGGGGTTCACACAACACAACAGCCTATCATGGGTGACAAGCTATGACAGGTTGTCATATCGTGTGAACCTCAACTTCTTCCCATTTTCCTTCTTGATTGCATGAGGGAAGTGGGGGAGGAAGCTGACACAAGGAAGGCCCACACAAGGAGGGCAGTGAGCTAGGGCCAGCCCCTGCCCCAAGGGCTGCCCAGCTGGCATCAGCAGCTGCCCAGGCAAGCTTGGCAAGAGTGCCAAGGGGTTTTACTTGCCAAGCAAGTCAGTAACTACTTCCCAGTACCCGTGGTGGATTGTGGTCACCTGCATTCAGATGACACAACAACCAATTGCAGGTAGAACAATTCATGGATTTTCAGGGTGTCTGGTTGCCCTCAAACCACCAGTGGTAATTGTAGCTGCACAACATGATAAACCATGACAGGTGAAGACCTGGCCCCCATCTCTATCAGTCGCATCTCTCTTCCTCTCTCAGCTACCTCAACAATGCTTATTGTTGCACTGTAAACATTGCTAGGACAGGATAAACCGATAGTTAATAAAGCGCTTCTTAACACGAATTGTTCCCCATAGCACAGCACTTTACAGAAGCGTTTTCTGCTGTCTTCTTTCTGGGAAAACGAAAGTGCCAGTTATCTGTGGGGTTTTTACTTGTTCTGTCTGCCTGTAGGCACAAGGTGGCGCTGCTCTACAGTGCAATTGCTGAATTGCTGGCCTTTAATTCATTGGTTGTGCCTTTAAAATGTAATACCTCATCATTCTTGCTCTTAAAAAGCTGCAAAAATGGTGACAAAGTGGGAGGGTTCCTGCAGATAACAGTGTCACGAAAAACAGCTTCCATGAGTGAAGGATCAGGGCACAATAAATGCCCTGTGTAGAGAAGCCCGAAGTAAGGAACCTGGGCATTGTTTTAGTATGACAAAAGAGAAAGGGCAGCTTAAATCCATGGATGGGATGGAGGATGGATGGCTTTGCTTTAAACTCCATGTTTCTAACTAGAATTGCAGAGACTATTTTAGAGTTGAAGTGCTGGGACAGCCAAGCCCACTCCCGTAATGAATTGCTGTCAAGTCTTATAGTCCCTCATCTTTGCATCTGCCTTGGCACCTAAAGCTCCTTCTGAAAGGGTCAGGATAGACCTAGTGACTGCCAGTCACTGATCCCTGGCCTTGCACCCCTCAGATGATGGGGCTTAAGAGGCAAATGGATACAGGCATGATTTCCAGAAACAGTTGCCTCTCTGAATTTTTCTGTTGTCCAATTCTTTTTAAGATAACCTGCAGGGAAACTGACCCTTGCTGCTCTCTGAAATCTTCTCTATATAGACTTAGCAAACAGACCCAGTTTTGCATGAGTGGGAATAGCCCTTGTGTTGCCCTATCAAAGCCTGCAAGCAGATCGAGGCGCCTGTCAGTTGGACATGGAGAGCTTCCTTTGCCTGAGTGAAGGCACGGATTGCCTTTTAGCACTGCTAGACATGGCCCAGCCATGGTGCACCCCCGTAGCACCCTGAGGGAGAAGTCTTCTCACCCCATTCCCTGAAGGGGGGCTGCCCCACAGCAGACGGGAGAGCAGAAATATATAGTCCTGTCCCTTAGCCTACTAAATAGCCTTTTGTTTTATAGAGTGGAGCCCTCAACCCAATCTACGCAGCTGCCAGAGAGTGAGACACATGGTGCCTGCCTGAACTAAAGAAGTGCTGAATGGGCAGCAATATGGACTCACCAGCCCTGCGTAGTGACAGGGCATGTGAAGGTAGAGCAGAATCCCTTCCATATGCAGCACAAGCTTTGCCTGCATCTGGACTGCTGGGGTGCCCCATGGAAGGACTTCAGCTCAAGTTCCAAACCTCTGTTGTTTGTTACACTGTTATGAAAAGGGGTAGAAGAGCCATTTGCTCTGGGGGAACTGACTGAGATGGGTAATGGCAGTGACTGTGAGAGAGAGAGTGAGAGAGTACAGAGGCATGAATGCATATGTTCCTGTTGAGAAACCATCATGTGCCCCACCTAAATACCCTTTTATTTATTTATGTATTTATTTATTAGGATATCCAGCCCTATACCAATCGTCTCTGGATGGCTTACAATATGATAAATACATGAAAAATACAATGATCAAGACAAGACAAGATAAGATAAAATAAACTGGAGTTTGGCAGCTAGCTGTCAAAATGCCTGCTCCTTTGAAAAGGGGATAGTTTACACTTTCCTATGTTTCTAAGCACTTAGATTATGAAAAGCAAGAACAGTGTACAGGCAGTCCCTGTATTACAAGCGTCCAAGTTACAAATGACTCATACTTACAAACTGCCCTAAAACCTATTAATTTTAAAAAATTACTGGGGAAAATCATCATCACCTTAGAGAAAGAGGAAGCAAGAGGGGAGTGAGGGAGGCCTCCAAAGCATCACCATAGAGAGAGAGGAAGTGAAAGGGGAGAGAGGGAGGCCTCCAAAGCATGCTCCCTTGCCCCACCCATCCAGAAAATGAAATCTCCAGCATTTTCTTGCCACAAAAAAAAGGTATTGGTTTGTTGAGGGCAGGGAGCTAGAGAGATTCATGGTTTTTCCACTTTCATGGGCATCCAGTGCCCCTAACCCCTGTGAATGTGGAGGGCTAACTGAACCTGATCCGACTTACAAACAAATTGGACTTAAAGACAAATTTCCATTTTCTCAGGAATGGAACTTACTCATAACCCAGGGACTACCTGCAGTTCAATAAATAGATAAACCAACCACATGAGAATCTTGCCACAAACACCATCTGCACATTCAATTTAGCTTGACAGCTCACCTTTTAACAAGGGCCAAGTCAGTCCAAAGGGACAGGAAAACTATTTGTAACCTGTCTAAGATCATGTCCAAGGTTGACAGTAGATACTGCCCTGGATAACCCCCAGGTAAGACTGGCTGTTTTTGGACCTACAGAACTGAATTCCTCTGCACTTGTACAAGTCCATGTTTTTTAAAAGAATACAAATATTAGTAGGGGATCTAAAAATTGCTTTGCAAGCACATAGTCCCTCCAAGGTGCTGATCTGGCCTGTTTTGATACCTCTCAGGCCAGCTTTTGTGATCTCTGAAAAAGACTTAACAGACAAAACAGCCATGAGGGAAAATGGCTTTTTATTGCACCAGGGAAGGAAAGATGGCTCCATACTTCAGGGCACCCTGTGAAGTCACCTGGAGGACTGAAGGGGGGGGGGATGAGAGAGCAAGCAACCCACAGTGAGCCTGATCATCTGCCAGGTGCACTGTGGGTTGTTCACAGAGCCCTCACCCACTGTGGCCTATTGCTGGGGTGTGTTGTGATGTGTGAACCCACCTCAGTGCATATGTTTGCATGTGTGCATGACAGAGCGAGCGAGCGAGCGAGCATGCATGGGTGAATAGCTTAAAAGGGAAGTACCTGAGAGCTGTGTTAGTCCCTGAGTGCCCCTCCCCCACACCTCTCTATAGCCCACCTTCCCCAACCTGGTACCTTCCAGATGCACTGGGATTTATAACCCCCATCAAGTGCTGATAGAGTGGATAACTTATATGTGCTGCTGCTTTTCTGGAGGCCTGTGATCGGCTATGCCCCTTTTCTGCCTTCGTTGGCTGTGGTTTTCAGGTGCCCTTTCTCAAATTGGGTCCCAGTTCCTCATCTCCTTTGATCACCATGGTGGGCATAAGAGGTACCACTGAAATTTGTTAGGGCAAACAGTTGAATGCTGACTGGGGATGATAGGAGTTGTAGTCCCAACACACCTGGAAAGTGCTGGGAGGTTGGGAGGCTGGTAACAGCCTTTGTTGAATCCATCCTTTGCTACGAGTACTTCCGCCTTTCCTGTTCTTCCCTCCCCTGCTGCTGTGCTATCCAACTTCATTTTATTCATTTAAAATTATGTTGCTAAAAAACCTGGATATCCTGCAATTTTGCCTCAGTATTTTTTTGCCTCAAGGTTTTTTTTTTTTTTTTAAGACTGTAAGTTCTTTGGGGCAGATATCCACCCAATGAAGGGGGGGGGGTGTTGGAAGTCCATAAAAAGGCCAGCTGAGCATGTGCCCACAGCAGCCTCCTGCCCTAAGCTTTGCAACAACTTTGTCTGCACTCTCCCTCTGCAGAAAGAACCGTTTTCAGTAGCTGAGTTATTTTTGAAAGCTTTGCCCAGCACCTCACCTCATTCTCGTGGCCCAATGAGTGTTGGCTTCACCCTCCCACTCCCCGTTTCTGTGTATCCTAGGAATGGCCTCACCTTTATGACCTCCTGGTTGATCTGCTTGGGGTCTCTTTCCACCAAGTCAATCTCTTTGGTAAGCGGGTCCCGGGAGTCCATCTTCCCCAGGGTCACTTCTTCTTCCTCTTCTTGCTGAGCCATGGCTCCTCGGGGCCTTTCCCCACGCAGCCCTCTTCGTCAACTGCACGGGCCAGTTGTCCCTGGTTGTCAGACCCGAGTTGAGTCGCCTCCCCTCCTGCTAACTCTTTCCTGACTGGGGCTTACAGAGGGAGAAGCCTGTTCTGAAAATAGTCCTCAGTCTCTAAGCCAGAATACATCTGCCTTGAGGGCAGGGCAGAGTTGTTTTTAGCAAGGCTTAGCATACTTTCTAGTGTGGTAGTATTATAAGGCCTCCCCTCCGCTCTTTTTTTCTGGGTCACTGCATAGAATAATTGTTAAAAGGGTGTAATGGGTCTGTCTAGGCCAGGGATGGGGAATCACCAGCCATAGACCTAAGGCTGTTCATTTGGCCTGAAGAGGCTCTTTGGGTCTCCGCCAGGGGTGCATATTCTCAGGTCCCAATCCAGCCCTAATAGGGCTGGCTACCTCCACTTCCCCAGCCTCCAATCCTGCAGTGTGTTTGTTTGAGTTTTAGTGCAGTTTCACCCCATTCCAAAAGGTTGCAATGGCAGGAGACACTGATAGCTAAAACAGCGGGATATTCTTGGTATTTTGGTCTCACCTCTGCTTGCATTTGGTGGAATTTAGTCCTTGGGCTCAGCGCCCCTGGTCTAAATGAGGAGAAAATGGTATCCTCAGCTGGTGAAGGATTAGAACTGTTCCATCAATGAGCTCTTCATAAATCTGGGTTGTCTCTATTGTGCCAGAGTTAGTGGACTGCAGCCCATGAATTCAAGCAAGCTTTGATTCCAAATCAAGAAGCTTTATTTAAACAAAGACTCATGGCCAGAAGCAGCCTTAGCAACTTTTGGGTTCCTCTCAGGAAGCACAACCCAATCAGACTGAAGCCAGGAGCTACTGCATATTGCTAAGCTCCTGTTTCTTTGGATAGAGACAAGCACTGACATAAAAAGAAGCTGGAGTTTTATGCATAGTCTTTCAGGGCTGCAAGTCTCTTAATAACTCGCTCCATTCAACTGCTGCCTTTATCCTGCTGCCCTGGAGATGCAGGGTGTGTCCTTGCTGCAGTCCTTCTCTTGCATTCATCTTCTCTGGTCTGTCCTCTGGTGAGTCTCTGCTGTGATTAGCACACAACAAGGAATCCCTGCTCATCTCATCCCTAAGGGATACTTTCCCTCATTCAAATTCATGCCATCACCCAATTCCTCTGCTACTTTCCTTCAATGTTTCTGTGATCTCTCAGAAATGCATCTGTTGTCAAACTCTACTGTATGTTTGTGGCTTCTGCTGGGAATTGCGGCTGCTTTGTGCCAGACTGTCTTTTTTGGGTAGAGGCAAATGCTCAATGTATTCCCAAGCTGTAGGCTTGAACATATCTGGCTGGCCTGTCTTTGTTGCTGCGATCTTCTCAGTTCACCAAGAGATACTCCTGGCTCTAACAACCTCCTACTTGCTGTCTTTGTTCTTGTTCTTTGTTCTTTGACCCATTTACCCTCATGCTGGGCTTGTGTTTAGCCCCTGACATGGAACATTTTTGTTGTTCTCAAAGTGCTAGATACAGCACTGTCTCCATCACTTTTGCTTTTCTCAGTTGCTCTAACTTTGTCATTACTTTGATAGCACCCAACTGCTGAAGCGCTGTGTTCAAAATTCCAAGCCTTGCTGAAATCCTGGAATTCTGCTGCAACAAATTGGAGGCCATTGTCAGAATACACTGTGTCTGCTATCCCCTATCATGCAAAGTGTGCTTTTATTTTGTGTACGATTCCCCCCAGCCCCCTGGAGTTATCTGATAAGGAGCCTGCCTCCCCAAACCTTGAAATATAATCTATGTACAATAATCATGTGTTTCTTGTCTGCCAAACTAAACAGAGCGATATCTACTTTTGCTCAAGATTTCTCAACAGCAGCCTTCCCCAACCTTGTACCTTTCAGACATGTTTGGACCACGGTACCCAGAATTCCTAGTCAATGGCCCTGCTGGAAAGGAATTCTGGCAGTTGCGGTCTAAATGCCCTTGAAGGCCATCAGGTTGGGGAAGGTAGCTCTAGCTGTAATGGTATTTCTTTGGTTGATGGTTTTCCCAGGATCTGCCCACTTCAGATTGCCCCATGAAGGTTCATTCATTTGTGGTCAGTAAATGGCTTCTGTGGCCCATTGTAGACAACCTTCAGTTCCCAGACCTGACGTATGCATTTTGTGCACGGTTTCTGTCTGAAGGGGTTCTGGTAGAACTGCTCTATTCTGTGCACAAAGATAATCCCAGATTGGGAAATACAGTGTTATCTCTCATGATGCACAATCTTTTGCTTCTGGCCAATGTTGTAATATCATGAGTTTTAGTCTTTGGAGAGCGTTACCTCCATTTGATGCTGAATCTCCCACAAACTTTCCTCAGATATGGGTAAGTTAAGTGCTGTACCACACTGATGGTTTCAACTTGAACTTCCCCAGATCTCCCTCATGGTAGCTCCTAGTAGATATTTCTACCAGTAGATCTTTGCCAGGGCTGTAGTAATATTTGGCCACAACCCTTTTCTGTTTCTACTAAAGAGAACCAGTGTGGTGTAGTGGTTAAGAGTGCAGGACTGGGGCTCAGGTGAACTCAGTTCTAGTCCCTACTTGCCCATGGAGCCAACTGGGTGAATTTGGGCCAGTCATAGACTCTCAGCCCAATCTACCTCACAGGGTTGTTGATGTAAGGACAAAACTGAGAGGAGGAGGAGGAGAATAATGTCAGCTGTTTTGAGTGCAAAAGAGAGAAGTGGGATATAAATCTAATAAATAGTAAGGCTCTACTTACAGAGGAAACTGACTGTCCCCCTTGCAGCACAGTACTCCCTAGACCAGATGTCTGGATGCATCCAACTGAAGCATGAATGGCTCTTTGGGGTTCTCATCCTGATGCTTTCAGATCACCACTAGATTTCTGCACCTCTCTACAGGCTGAATAGTTCCCTGCCATTGTAAACTTTGGAACTCTTTTCTTGGAATCTCTACTAATGCTGCCGGTACTTTCCCCTTAGGTGCCTTATGTGGCTTCATATTTGTATCAGTCTCTAGGTTACAAACAATACCTAGCTGGCCATCTTCATTCATACGGTCACCACAAGTCGGAGACCACATGATAGCACACAAGAACAACAACTGTCCATCTCCTTCAAACACATCCTTGAATAAACTGCAACTTTTCTTCATACTCTGCTATCCCTTGTCAATACATTCTGGAATTATTTGTTTTCTGGCCTGGATCACCTTCAGGCCTAACAGTGGTCCTGCTCTTGAGTCACATAGACACAACTTTAACCTGTATTTCTTGTTGTCTTCCAGTTAGGAATGCTGAGTGTGCATTTTCCAGCTGGACAATGCAGTATTACAGGGTTAGGATGAACTTTTTTGGAATCCATCCCTGTAGCATCCACTGATTTCTTCTTGTGCTCGGCTTGGCCTGCAAGGTGAACCAAGCCAAGAGGAAGCCCACAATATTTGCGGACCTCCAATTGCACAACCAGCAATCTTTCCTGTCGGGCAGCTGCAGGATGCAGAAAGGGGTGTTGCAAGTGGTGCTCCAGCTGCCAGTCCCAGCAGCCAGCCTTCTTCCCTGCTTGCTGGAGGTGGCAGTGGCAGCAAGCACAGGAAAGGTGTTGGAGCGGGGAGAGGCGTTTCCTTCCTATAAGCTGGGCGACTCTCTTTTTGTCCTGCGCATTCCTCTGCACAGTCTGTGCATTGCTCTGTGGTGTCCACTGCTGTTCTTACATCAGGGGAGATCTACACTGGAGCCCCTTCTGTTTATGGGGAAACACAGCTGTGGCATTTGTGTGAACCTCCTTCAGGATTAGGGCATCATTGGGCCACATGCTCATGAAGGCAGCCTATTGGACAATGTGGGCTCATGTCACTCGTAGATGCAATTGTGGGAGAAACTGAGGAATTGGAAAGGGAATGTGTGCAAGGAGAAGTTTCAGTTGCATCGTGTTTCTTTTTTTTAGCTCAAGTCCTCCATCTGAGTGCTGGAGGGTGAGAGACCGTAATGCAACAACTGGGCCCACACGCTGAGCCCAGCTTTACTGTTGAGTCTAGTAGCCTGTAGGCTACCTGTGGAGTTTTTAGGGCTGGAGCATGGATCTCCTGGCACTGAGATGCACCGACATCAGAGCTGGGCCACCGTGCTGGGCTCTTCCCATGCGCAGCTGCCGGTGCTGGCATTATTGGCAGCCGCACAGATCTAGAGTGGCCTCAAGCCAGCGCAGAGGTGTGGCTGGCTGAGGGAGCCATGTACCCGTCCTGTTCCACTGGCTGCACCAGCGCACGGAGCTGGCTGGCTGCCAGCCAAAGCTTTAAGGGGGACCACAGTGATGGACACCGCCAGCTGCCACCTGCCGTGTTCCTGGCAGCAGCATGCAACGGAAATGGGGCCTGTTTGGGTGTGGTTCCAGGCGCTCTGCCTGTGTGCGAGTTCCCTTTGCTAGTTGAGGGAGACAGATTTGGACTGCAGCGCTGTGCACGTGTGCTTAGCAGCAAGGCTGCTAAATTTGCTGAACTCGGGAAGAACTGGGTGGCAACTCATGCAAGAGGGGTCCTTGGCCTGGGAAGCCCAGTCCAGCCTGCCTGGGGCCCCTTTCCCCCAATTACCTGTTCCCAGCTTTCCCCTTTCCCTTCTAAAATGCTGACATGCCTTTCCTAAGGCTCACTGGTGAGAGCTTTATGTTAAAATAGGCTGGTATTTTGGCCCCATGTCCCTTCACCTTTGGTCCCACCTGCCCTGGAGAGCTTCTCCAAAATGGAGCTGGGCCCTCAGGCTGCCAGAGGTTGGATGGCCCTGTCATGAAGGCCAGTGCAGCTGCACTAAAGGAAGCTGAGCATGGGGGGTTCCAGTCCACCCCTTCCTATAGCCTCAGTCCCCACACTGATCCCCACACCCCACCATCCTCTCTGTTTCACACAGCCCTCATTTCCGCCCCACTTGTGCCAAGTCGCCAGAAGAGAACCAAGAAAAGCCAAATGCAACAGAAGCAACACAACTTCATGGTTTTTTTGTTTTATTATAGCAAGGGAGCAGCAAGAATTGACAGCCTCTGAAATCCCAACTATTGCTGTGGAGGTGGGCTTGGAGAGGGTAGGGGGTGGTCCCCACTGAAGCAGCGGGTGGTTTTGCCAGAGCTCAGCACTGGGTATGAAGTTGCTCCATTTACTGCTTTCCATCCACATGAAGCCCCTACCCCAAAGTGTCAGTTTAGGATCCCCTCATAAGAGGATATCAAGTGGGCGATGTAGGAAGGGTTAGATCACTTTTGCTGGATTAATTGGTGATTGCATGGAGTAGAATTTTAGGGTGGGTCTGGGAACCTGGACTAATGCCTTTCCAGCTTCCCAGTGGGGAGATGTGCTGGGCCCCCTCTCTGATGCCTTCACAGATCTGGGCAAAGCGGGGACAGAATGAAGTAAAATGTGGGTGTTGAATTTCAGTCTGTTCCTCTGCAGCACCATTTTCCTCATTGTCCCATCTCTCCCTTTTCCTTCCCTCTGGCTTCCTCCCCCACAGCTCCATGCACACAACCCCCCCCCCCCGCCCTTTCCAGGATAGAGCTAAAATGCTCTCTGTCCCTTCTTGCCTCATGTGAGAAATCAAAGCTCTTTGAAGAAGCAGAGGCTTTCGGGGATGGGCTGCCTGTGTCACTCCCGACTGGTGATGGTGAGGTAGATGGCACTGCAGCAGCGTCCCAGGCTGATGAAAAGCGGGGCTACTGCAACATCCAGGATGCTGGCCCACAGGGTGCGCACTGGCGGCATGGCCATTGTGCACAGCTGGATACAGGGCATCACACACCTATGGAGAGAGCGAGAAGAGGGAAACACGGTAAGAGGTTGGCCTTGACTAAGCCATCCTAACACCTTCCTAACTTACACGAAGCAAAGTCCAAGTTCAGGTTGCTGTAAGGATGAGGGGTCAGCAACTTGTGGTCCTCCAGATGTTTTTGCTTGTGACTCCAGCTCCCATGATCCCGTATCATTGGTTAGGCTGGCTAGAGTTGATGGTAGTTGTAGTCCAGAACTTCTGGAAGACTGGAAGTAGACCATTCCTGACTAAAATGATGGCTACAATCAAAACTAGCTGGTGGCATTTCTGTTTTGGTCTGGATGGGCCTTTCTCAAAGTGGCATCTTCTAGATGTGGTGGACTAGAACTTCCATCAGCCCCATCCGATGGCCCTGCTGGCTCGGGCTGGCCAGAGTTATGCTTTATTGAGCCACCTCCTTCCATTTTCATTGAGGGAAGAAAAATGGGTCCTTTACATAGGACTTTTTTCTTGGGGTTTGCATTGCTGCGCCTTTCTACATATTCTGTTAATCAGCCAAAGGGTTCTGCTGGGCTACGGCAACAGTAGAGTGGATTTGCAACTTTTCTAGAAGGCTTTCTTCTGGTTTTTGTTCAGGTTTGAAAGTTTGAGAGAAAGACCCCACAAACTTCCATGAATGGGAGGATTGTGAGCGTACAAGAAATACCTCATGCAGAGAATTCCTTAGTCTAACACCACTGGAAAGCAACAATTAGGAAAAGCTATTTTACAGTCAAGTGTGTACACGTATATGGTTTTGCAGATGCTCATTTTGTTATTTGTACTTGAAAATATATTATTTTTCACGCAAGAAAATGTTGCTTCTTCCCAAGTAAATGTGTTTAGCATCAGGGTAGCAGAAGCAGACTCTATCTGATTCTCATTGTCAAGATGGTGCTGTAATTTAAGGGCACAATCTGCTGCACATCTGGTCACAAGAAATGGCCGGGGCATGCTGGGAGTTGTAGGCCATTTTTTCTTTTGGAATGTGCAGAGGGTGTTATGCCTTAAGTGAAGTGTCCATGCTCGGATACTTAAGTGAGTTGCAGAATTGTATGTACTTGAAGTATCCTTTTTTTCTCTCAAGGCTGGCAAAGTTTTGCTGCTGCTTGTCTAGGGAATAAGCCATGTAGAAGGAATTATAAATGCAAAATGATGGTTGGGACAGGATGGGGGAGAGAAAAGTTCTTTGTGGGCTTTAGAGGAGTGTCAAGATGAGGGAGAGGGGGCTGCTGTAAGACCAGAATCCATAATCACCATCAGACAGCAAGATGGAGGAGAAACCAGGCCAGGAAGTTCAGGGTGAAAGGTGGGGTTTGCTAGTGGGCCATCTTGCCAGGAGGAGCCTTGCCAGGTACCAAATTGTTCTTATTCCTGATTCTGGCCCTACTACAACTCACAGTACAATGGGGGGACTAGGTGGGACTGGGGGCTGTTTTGTCATGAACTACCCTTGCCTTACTGCCTATTTCTCCCCCTGCCCCACCCCACAAGCGCCAGCAATGTCTATTTGTATGACCCTGATGTGGCTCTTGGCCACATTTGGTGCCCGTTGGCCTTGGCTGCTGGCGTTTCTCCTCCGTACCATCCTTTTCCGCAAAGCGTCCTTGAGGGAATCGTTTGGTTCTGTGGTTGCCCCTTGCTTTGTGCGTGATCTGTGGCCACCAAGTGGGGAGAGGTTGATGGGGTCCCTAAGTGGCCACTTCTAGAATTGCCCATGACCTGCCCCTTGCTGCTCAGCAATCACAGTAGGCTGGTTTGGAAGCTGCAAAATGCAACTTTGGCCTTTGCCAGCCCTTAATGTGCCAGTAAGTACAAGCGCCATGCGCCATTTTTCTCTTTCTTCAGGGGACACTCTGCAGATTGACTTGCCTGAGTGTTGCAGGGATGAAGAGAGCCCTGGAGGAGGATGAAGAGCTTGGGGTGTGCTTTGTTCCTTCCTGCTTTGCCCCTTCCTAATTTTTCCCATGCCCTCAGTGAGCACCCATGGGGCAGGAAAGGGTGGATGCATGCTTCCTCAAATGAGCTGCTGATGCAGAAGATGGCCAGGGGGATTGGGAAGTAATGGGCAACATGTCATGAAACACCTTGGAGTGGGAAAAGGCCAGTGAAGGTGCAGGAAGCATTGGAGGTGGGGCATGGTAGGACCTAGGTGGCCATGTGCCCCCCCGCTCCCCCCCCCCCAGAGGTCTGCCCTTTATTTGAACGGCTGTCCAAGCCCCTTTCAAAGATAACCAGCTGAAGAGAGAGCAGAGGCCTTGACACTGCCCATCAGCGGTAACTAAATGGCCGGCTGAGCAAGGTGCCAGCTGATCACAGTCATTCACACTCTGTCCAATATTAGTCGTACTTAGAGGAAACCCATAGGCATGTTAGTCATGACTAAATCCCATTCATTTCAATGAATTAACTCTAAGTAGGACTAACATTGGATAAAATGAGATGTTAGTGTTTCTATTTCTATAGTAACTACTTCTAAATGCTCATATTTTGTTTATGTTAGCATCTGCACCTGTCATATAATGATGTCCTCTTTCCTGGCTATTCAAAAGTAGCCTCCTTACTACATGCAGGTGGGGGGGGGGTGGGCAGAGGATTAGATTTGGGCTATGCACCTCTGCTCTGGATCTACAGAGAAGCACTGGCCGGGCCTGGCAAGGCTCAGCGTGTCCCAGAAATGCACTCAGCTCCCTCTGTGCCAAATTGTAATGGGGAAATGATGGGCAGCAGTCAGGGCTGGGGTTGAAGGAAGGCATGGGTGGGCACTGGCGAAGGGCCCTCCCCCTCAGGGGCCCACTGGCCAGGGCCCCTGGTCTTGTTGCTCCTCTTCACTTCGGCAACCTGCGTGTTGCCCCACCTCTCACTCTGTCCCAGAGAGTGGTGGTGCTGAGCAGGCAGCGCAGGAGATGCCCAGCCTTTGCTCTCCGTCACTCTGCCTGCAGGCGAACCAGCAGGGGGTGACACTGCTGAGGAGGAGGAGATGGTGGTGAGAAGGGGGCCCCGTGAGGGTTTCTCAGGCAAACCTGGAGCTGGCACTGTCAGGAGCTCGCAGATGGGCTTTCAGTGGAACTGGTTTGCTGCTAGTAATCTGCTTATGGAAGAGCATCCGATAAGCATGTAAAAAAACCTCAGGAGCACACTGGAAGACCCCTGTGTTGGAATAACATGGCCTCCATGCAGTGTCGGCAGTTCCCCAGAGACCATCAGAGGCGGCCTTGTTAATAGTCAGTGGATGGGTGAATGGCAAAGGGCCTCAGGTTGGCCATGAGAAGGGGTAGACCCGGTGAGCACGAGAAGGCAGTGCAAAGAGGAGGGAGCCTCACCAGATATGCAGGCAACCTAGGCAGGCAAAGAGAAAGCCCGAGAGCAAGGAGACGGGCACAGCACAAAGCACCGAGATGATACGGTAGCACCAGAGGCGTGAGCTCTCAAAGATTATGTCACTCCACGTCCATACCCGGTCAAAACTGCGGAACGAGGAAGGTTCAGCGAGGATGTCAGAGAATTCCAACTGTAGGGAAGAAGAGGGCATCAGGTCACTAAGGATGTTCAAGGGGAAAGAGAAAATTTTAGGAGGTGTAGAGCAAAGCATCTTGGAAGCCTGTGCTTTATTGCTGAGGGGCTTTGGGACATGTAACAGGCAGTAGCCAGTTGGGGGCAGGGGTGGAAATGGGTTGAGCTGAAGCTGAGAGATGTTTGCAGGCCTATACTCCAAACATGGGAGGAGATTGGGGTCTGATGGAAACACAAGTCCCACTTTGGGTAGGAGGAGAGAGGTTGGAGCCATTCCCTTAGCTTTGAGGAACTCAAAGACACGGGTAGCCTCCAGTCAGGGGTGGGCTACACTTGGTTACCTTGAGGTGCTGGTTGATCCCACGTGGGTCCCGGGGGTCCACTTTGGGTGGTATGTTGACAGCAGACTGTGGGACCATAGTAGATCCTTGCTCCCGCAATTGAGGGTCTTCTGGGTCTAATTTGCACTCGATCAGATATTCATCATTGATCATCTTGTTGGGAGGGAGGGGCTTGGGATCAACCCAGAAGCTCTCTCTAAAGGAAGAGTCCACCAGGAATGCTCTTGGACGCCTCCTGATCGTTCTGTCTCCACCGTTTCCCCCTGTTGTGTGTGCTACCTGTTTTATTGAGCGGATCCTGCCTGTTCTTATTAAACTAATCTAACCAGTCTCCCCTTGCAGTCTTTCCCAGTCTGTGTGCAGGAATCTGATTCCTGTTCTATTCTCAGCTTTGGCCAGCACAGATTGGAGGGCAAAGGGAGCTGAGCGGGGTGGATCTCAGCAACTGCACGCCCCCGCCTGGTATTTGCAGCCGCTGGGTGAGCCACATGCATTGGGACAAGCGGTATAAATATGCCACCATTCCTCCACCATTCCATATTTGCGGAGGAGCAGGAAAGGGGCAACGGGCAGGCCAGCTAAATATATGCAAGAATGGGATATTCTTGGACCTGGGAGCAAAATGGGGTGCAGTGGGACACACCAGAGGGGCTCAGAGCCAGGTGAATTAAACAGGGTTTGCACCAAATGGGACCTGTTGATGTGGGACACCATCTAGTGGCTGTGATTTCCCATCAGTAGTTCAGGACAGTGGCCTACAAATGTTTCACATGCTAGGAACATTTTGTACATAAAGTTGCATGGAATTGGCTGGATGGGCTGAATGCACACATTTCCGTGTGGTGGGTGCACTGATACATGCAAGACTGCTGTGGCCAATTGTACCTTCTCAGTCTATGCGCATTCAGCCATCGCGTAGAAGACACATGGGGACAAGAACTGCCATGCAGGATTTTAATATCAGCACCTTATATTTCCCCCTTTTTTCCATGGAAGTGCAGGCAGAGTAGGGCAGCCTTCCTTGGCCCGGTACCCCTTGATCTAGTCCAAGAGGCGGAAGTACCTGGGCACTGGCTCAGGGAAGGCTGGTGCAATCCATTCATGGGTCCCAAGAGGCCCTCAGAACAGCAAATCTTAAGAAAGCCTGACCTTTGTTTTCAAATGCGCATGTAATAGACTTCCTCCTGGTTCCCCATGCCCCTTAGTCTCAGCCCCTTGGGTTGGTTTTGGATCTCTTCAGGTTAACACACGTTTGCAGTAAAGTCACTCCCTTTGCATGCTCTCGCCTGTCCATGTTCAATTTTGGAATCCCTCTGAGATGGAGGGTGGGAGGTTCCCCACTTGCTCCCCCTCCCTTTTGCAGGGAGGCCCTCCAGTTGCTGCAGTGACCGTACATTCAGAAATCCTCACTGGTCAACTATATTCCCTTGGTATAGAGATGGGTAAACAACCATTGTACAGTGTGTAAAGGAATACACAGGAAAGATGTTTAAAACAAAGGTGAACATACGCAGTTAAAAGTCGTCTGTATCTATCTTTAGCCCCTTAATGCTATGTATTTCTTTCAGGAAAAAGCCAGCCTTTGCACTTCAGTGCACCTCCACAGAAAGCAGCCCTTAAGAATGCCTCTGCGTGCCCTTATTGTTCCGATGTGATATATGGAAACACCATCATGCTGGCATCCCCTGATTGATCGCTTTTTCCTTCCTTCCTTCCTTTCTTCCTTCCATCCATCCATCCACCCATCCATCCGTCTGTTCATCCACCTACAACACAAAGGGAGGAGGTGTTCCTTGCTTCTTTAACTGGGCCAATGATGAGGCAGTGGGCGACACCTTCTTTGAACAGGCTGGAATGCATTTAGAGGCCTCTATTTTTCTAAAGATGTGAATAGTCTCACCTTCTATCTATACAAATTGTGTTTATGAAAAGCAAAAAATACTGGGAACAAGCAGAATTCCAAAATTTGTATCGGTCCAATATCTTCATTAGGCCCAAACTAAAGATCACCCAAAATATATCCACGTTCAAGATCTCCAGATCCAGGCAGGATGCTTCAAAAAGCCACTTGGTTGGGGGTAGTGATGCAAAGAGGAAAGGGAAAAAAACTGATTTGTGAAGACATGATCATACTCTTGAGAAGGAGGAAGAAGGAGGAAGGATTTTTAGGCATCGAGAGAATACAGAATATTGTGCAGGGCCCTTATGAACAATCTGAACCTCACAGAAGTCATCGTTCTTTCCCCCTGGTGGTGATGTGATGAGGTTGGGGCTCTTTCAGTGTCCTCCGTGAATCCTGGACGCTCCTGTTGATCGATCCCACCCCCAGTGGTGGTGCTTTGCAAGGTAGGGCAGGAGCAATGGCATGCTATCTCCCTAGGGATGATGCCAAAGCCATTCCGTCAAGACTGGCACTCCTGCAGGTTCAAAAGAGGGCTCCTGTGGAAGCACCATGCAGGGCAGCCAGATGTTGACACCTGGGATTTTGGAGACACCAGTGACCACCTGCTCGTTCCTCTCATGTGCCACGCGCACAAGCTTGTGCAGGTGGAGGATCCATGTAGCAGTGGCTTTCGCCAGCCTGTTGAAATTGCAATGTGAGGAAGAGGGCACTGCACACATAATGTGCCAAGGCGGCGCAAGAACAAAAGGGCATGCTCCGAAGCAGAGTGAGTCGTCCCCTTTGCGCAGCGGCTTCAGAATTCCACGAACAGGCAAGAGATCAGTTGTTCTCATGCTCCTCCCGTCTTAGTGTTGGAGGGGGGCGCTGTTTGGATTTTCCGCCTCATTTGTCAAAATGTCTGCTGACAGCCCCCCTCACTCACCCAATAAGATAAAGTAGCCACCCTTTGCTGCCGAGTGTGATTTCTCTTAGTTTTCTTGCTTTTGTGCTTGATTACAGATTGTGTACAGATTACAGATAGTGCTTGGATACAGATTAATGCAATACTCACAAAGCTTCATAGAGATGCAAGGGGTGGGGGTGGCTCTGCTTGGGAAAGGATGGCTGACGTGTTACTGAGGGGAAGTTGCTGTGTGGAAAATGCAGTTATATCACCAGAGAATGCCTTGGCTGTCACTCCAGCGGAGTCTGCACTGCCATTTACCTCCGTACTGAGCACTTCTGCATCAGCAGTTTTCCAAGGCACAGGTCATGTTTGCATGAAAACTTGGGTCTCACTTAGGAGGGGGAGACAGCCTTTCTGGACTTGTTCAGGGGGCTTTCTCCCGGCAGCGCTGGCAGATGCATTTCACCTGTAAAAGTCTGATAGATTGTACTCTGGAACTTGAGTGGAGATGGTTCTTCAAGCAGGCCATTTCCTTCCTCCACACTGCACAAGTGTATGCTGTGATGAAAGAATGCCTGTAGGGCAGCTGCAGATGTGGTGAGAGAAGAAGGGCAGGCAACATGATGGGGTACCAGGACCCAGCGACATTGGCTGGAAGGAAGGGTACAAGGGTGGAGTATATCGGGGAGAAGCAGGCAAGGAAGAGTAAAGATGCCAATAGTGGAGTCCCAGCCTGGGTTGCTAGGAGATGTGGATGCCAAAGAAGTCCCAGAGTTCTCTAAACCCAACAGCCCAAACCAGGCCTCTCTCTTTGGGTTCCTCCTTCCTCCTGCCTTCAGTTTTTTAGAGAAGGAGGTTAACTTGCTGACATTGCATGCACAAATTTCAGAGATGCCCAGCTCAGGGATCAGGATGCCACTGTCTGCACTAACATTATTTTTGCTTCTAAAGAGCAGTGGACCCAGATGGTGGACTATCAGTGGGGCACCTACAGCTTAATCTGCTTTTAGTGCATTTATTGTCAGAGCTGACTCAAGGCATTTTGATGCCTGAGACAGGAAATCCAAATAGCATCCCACACATACACATCCATAGAGCAATTACATCAATTTACAGGGAATAATCCATGAAACTTTTCCTGTCAAGGTCGATTGAAATGATGCAACAGGACTTGGCACCTCATCATGTTCCTTCGAAGTGTTCCAAGGTTTGTTTGCTGGCATTCTACCCAGAAACCAGGTCTCGACAGTTTTCGGAACAAGCTTAAGTAATCCACTACTCATCTGTCATTGTATTTCCCTTGCCAGACTTCTCCAAGTTTCCCCTAGAATCCTACCATTGTCGAAGCCAAGTACTTGTGTGTGGTGCGCTGTATTTCCCAATAAACATGGAACGTGTATCTCCCACAAATGGGTGATACAAGTTCCAACTAACACTGCTGCACTAAGTTTTACTAGTTCTGTATAACACTAAAGGAATGCTTATCTATCATGCTGCTGCATGTTGTCATTATGGATGTGTGGGTTCTGAAGAGAGTTTGTGTCTTGAGGAGGCGGAAAATCCAGACGGCACCGACACTAAAGGGGAATGATTTTGTGGAGTTTTTTTCTGCAGAAGCCTCATGGAAGCCAGTGAGGACTGTGGGAGACCGTACCTGAAGCACGGGCCAAATATGGTCCTCCTGGTGAGGCAGCCAGATCATTTGGCTTCATCTTAGGGCCACTGTTGCTTTGTAGTTTGAACCCTATGCCTGATGGACAATACAAAGCGTTAGGATGTTTTTCAAGCAGGAGTTGTAGGGTGGTCAGGCATTGCCTTTTGCAGAGAGTGGTCCTCCATTTGAAGACCTGCCTGAGGTCTGTTCTCTGTTTGCAGGGCCAGTGCACTCCAGTTCTAGTGCACAGAGAGGACTGCGGCCTGTCACCAGGGAATCTCCAGGCAGTGGTTTGAAGAGTCCATGTGAAGGGGGCCTGGTTACCTATGCTGCCTTTCTATTTAAATTATAGTGATGACTTCTGAACATGTATCTAAACATATTAACTTATGGAAATTGATAATTTACATATTTACATCTTACGTTGCATATTGCATTTCCTCTTTTTTGTAAATTCCTAAGTTGCCACCCAAGGAGTTGGCCTAGTCCAGGGGCAAGTCACCTGTGGTGTTCGGCCTAGTTTCAAAACTGACGAGTGCAAACTTCTGGCAAGAGCGATCTGGCAGCACACTGAGCAGAAAGGGAGAACAAGAAGGAGAAAGGGGGTATCAGAAAGAAGACGTGTGGCTGGCCCTCTGCCCACTACAAACCCACTCTGCCCTCAGACGGATGACTGCTGCGAGCATGTGGCCTATGGCAGAAAACAGGCTCTCCGCCCAGGTCTGCTCAAAGGCAGCATCCCACAAGTGCCAAAGGGCCCTCGGGCCATCCAGGAGGCCAAAGCACCCCAGCACCCCCTTGCTCGGTCTCCCCTGCAGAGGCACGCCCCTCCATTGCGCAGCACGTCTTCTCAACCCAAGTGGCCGGCTGCGAAGAGAGCAGCTCCACGGGGGGGGGGGGGGGGGGGGGGGGGGCACCCCCCCTGGGGGGTGTTTGCCCGGGGGGGGGGGGGGGCGGGAGGGGGGAGGGGGCCCCCCCCCCGGGGGGGGGGGGGGGGGGGG